TGAGAAGGTGATACTAAGAGGCACTCTTTGATTTCTCAATTCAGGCTAAACCTTTCGGGCTTTCAAGGGCTTAGAGACGGTGTAAGGGATCCATTTTCCGACAACCCCAGGCTCGGTCAAGATGGCAGCGGCAGCCGTGGTGAATGGATCCGTCCCTGTGGGACCAGTGACGCCTCCCTTCTCTGAACCGACGGACGTCTCTTTGAATGACATTGCGGTGACCACCTCTTCGCCCAGGTGGGTGCTTCCTGTCTGTCTCCTCACCCGCATCCGAAGGGGACACACAGAATATGGGGGTGTTTCAATAAATATGAGGGGGGGGGAGGGGGGAGGGGAATCCAGTGGAGATTTGGTAAAACAAAGTTGAACTTATTTGGAACTGACCATCCTGGTTTGCAGCTTAGTGGTCTGTATAAACCAGACATTCACGGCTTGCTCAAACCATGCTTCACCCCACATGTGTCAGCCGCGAACAACAGGACCCACACGTGTAGAGCTCAAACTTACAACAGTTCATTTAGGGACCAAATTTACAGCGGCGCTGGGGGGGGGAAGTGACTTGTGACCGTTTTTCCACACTTGCGACATGTTGCAACATCCCCACTGTCACATGATTCAACTTCAGATGCTGGGCAACCGACTCCTAGTTATGACGGTCGCAGTGTCCCGCGATCCCCTTTGGCGAAGTCAACGGAGAAGGCAGATTCCCTGAATGAACGTGTGACGAATTTAAGAACTGCAGTGATTTCACTAAACCGCTGTGGGAAGGACGTTTGTAAAATGGGGCAAAACTCACTTAACAGCTGACTGGTTTAGCCACAGAAATTTTGGGCTCCGTTGTGGTCATAAATCGAGGACTACCTATATAGGTAGTCATCAGTGCTGGAAGGGAGTAGCAGTTGGCTCTCTGTTGATATACTGACTACTGGGTTACCCTCTCCGTGTTGGTGAGAAAGTGTTTTCTTTTCCCTTTGGCAGTTCCTTGGTTAGGGTGTTGCTTATCTGTTTGTCTGGTATTAATCCCTGCTTATCTGAGTTCTTTTCTTTAAGTCCTTGATGTTTCTAAGCTTGCCTACTTTTCATTGCCCAACTAAGTAACACAATCAGTGCTAGAGGGAATTAGCCATCAATCTTCTTTTTGGAAAAGAAGTGCATCTCTAAGGATCACCTGTCCGTTGCCCCAAATTCGCCCCACCTTTAATGCAATATCTCTGGCCTTCTTTCCTCCTGCTTTGAAATCGGAATTTCTCAAAGCAAGTAGTCCCTGATCCCCTTTAAAAGCAGAAAGGAGTAATTTCCTCACATTGTAGAATTCTAGGGCTGGGATGGCCCTTGAGGCCATCCAATCCATCCCACCCCCTACCCCTCTTGTTCAAGGCTCCTTTCCCCGTTCTTCGAAATATGAATATTTCAAAAGGTCATAAAATGGGGCAAAATTCACTTAACTGTCTCGTTTAGCGATGGAAATTTTGGGCACAATTGTCTTCAGACGAGGACTATTACCTGTCACAAGAATCCTTAGTAGGGCTGGGTTGGGGGCTCCCGCTGCTCAAGTGTGGGCTTTGGGAACTGAGTGGGGGGTGGCCTTGTCAGCTCATCTTGGGGGAAGCAACGAGGGTCCCGGTGTAGTCTTGGAAAGGCAAATGCTGATACCAGCTGAAGATTATCCAACGGGTATTACTTGGTGCCTCCCTGGGCATCACCTTGAGGGACGGTGGGCGGGGTGCAGGAAAACCCCAGTTTCACTCTTTTTTTTTTCCAGCAAGCAAACTGGTGTGGGGTGGCAGGGGTGCTGTTTCTAGGCTGGGCAATTTCATGCAGGCCATGCCAGTTACCCTTTCTTCCCCCATGGCTTCCTTTCTCCGACGGAGGTCTTTACAGACTAAACAGCCTTTGCAGAAACGCTGGGCATCGGAGGAACAAGACTCCAGCATCAGGGACACTCACGTGCGTGTGTGATTTTCTGCTTTTGTTCTCTCTGCTCAAAAACAAGGGGTCTCACCGACATGGATGCTGGCTTTGTGAGTGCCCCTTACAAGAAAGGAGTTCAGAGCCAGCTTTTCTCCTTCCATCCTTCCCTCCCTGTTACGATCCAGGGGAGGGTGCTTTGCTGAGGATGTGGGCCCCAGAGGTGGGAAAGCAGGGGCAGGATTTGGGCACGGCTACTCCACGAGTTCCAGCAGGCTCGGGAAAGGCTCCATTCTGTGGCTTGCGGCTTCTCAGAAGAAAACGGTGATGGTTTTGGAGTGAAGGCTGGGGTGTGGCAACCGAGAAGGTCAACCCTGTAATTTGGGGGTACGGCCTATAGTGAAAGTCCTGTGGCCCCCCCCCAGCATTGGTGGCTTGTGAATTACAGGGTGTGGCTCGGAGGGGAGGAAAACCGTCAAAACGTAGGGAGGTGGATGGGCTCAGTTATCCAAGGGAGTCTCCAGGAATTACGTGGGGAAGGGGGCTTGGAGACCCCCTAACCGGTTGTGTCTTTTCACAAACTCCTGCTTCAAGCCAGGGTCGGGACAGTTTTCAAAGCCAGCTGGCGAAGCCACTGTGCTTTGCTAGAGAAGCCTCAACCACCCTTTCAGTCGGGGGCGGGGGGAGGAATGACGAGCATTCCTCCCTGCCTCGGTTTCCCTTTGGTGTCCCAGACAGAACACTTGGAAAAGTGTCACCTTTAAGCCATTTTTGGTCATGGCGAAAGACGGCCCAGAAGTATCTGTCCTAGGCTGGAGGGGTGAAAACCGGCTTCTCTTGGGGAACAGGCCAGGCAAGTAGCAAAGGGCAAAGCCATTTGCTCACCTTTCTTTTAAGATCTGTTAAGATCCGTGCGGAACCGTTGAGCAAATAAAGATTGGGATTACTCGGAGCTTGGGAGGGAGGAGTTAATCCTCTGGACCAGAAGTAGCCCAGATAAAGCCCTGTGGAATTCCGGGAATACGGCATCCAGTTTGGTCATCAAGACACAAAAAAGAGGTTGAGTCTTTGGAAAAAGGGCAGAGAAGAGCAACTAAAATGATTAAAGGCCTGGAGACTAAAGCAGGAGAACTGGGTTCGGCCAATCTAGAGGAAAGAAGGACTAGGGGTGACAGGATAACAGTCTTCCAGTATTTGGGGGGGCTGCCCCAAAGAAGAGGGAGACTAATTATTCTCCAAAGCCCCTGAAGGCAGGACAAGAAGCAACGGATGGAACTAACCAAAGAGAGAAGCAACCTGGAATTAACCTGGATTTAAGGAGAAACTTCTTAACAGTGAGGAGAATTAAGCAGTGGAACTGCTGGCCACCAGAAATTACCACCACCAGCTCCTATTATGGATTCCTTTGGTCCTTCCTACAAGCTCCTTGCTCTTTGGCTTCCTGTGTTTGCCAGAGTTTCTCTTAATCCTCAGCTCAGTGGAAGCTGCCTCCTCTTTGAACTGAAAAAGCCCAGGGTATTTTTTTAAGTTTTGAGGACTTTCCAGCCAGTCTTTTCTTTGCCTTCTGCCCAGGAAGATCCTTGCAAGAGTTTCTGTATGAAAATGCTTCCCAGATCTAGCGGGCGTATGTCCTCTTCTCCCTTTCCATGCAACTGGGGAATCCCAAAATGATGTAATGGACCATTTGCAGAACGTCCCAACTTTAGCTAACCAGGTTTGAGATGCGAGTGAGGGTCCCAGTGAAAAAGAACAGATGTCAGGGTTCCAAGTAATACTCCCACGAAAAATAGGACAGGCTGATTCCACAGAGAATGTGATTTATTGGAAGTATCGTATTGGCACAGGCTGGTGAAAACCGACTCTGAATATTCCCACAGTTTTCACCAAGTTAAAAGTAAAAGTTTTTCCCCTTCCCCAAACAGTCAGTCACATGGTCCAATCATCGTGTCGCCTGGTTGCCTGGTAATGTCACTCCGCCTCTTTCCGACCACCTGTGGGAATGACCTTGGTTCCCAAGAGAAAGTATTTTGTTTTGGCTACAAACTGCCTCCCTAACCGTCAGCTCCAACGCTGAAGCTAGAAAACGGCCTGGCTCAGCCCAACTTCAGAGTTGACAACAGAACCGAAAGCATGGCTCTCCAACCATGGTAACTTTAGGGCTTGTGGACTTCAATCCCCAGAATTCCTCAGACCAGGTTGGAGAGCCCTGGGGTAAAGCAACTTCAGCATGGATTGGGCCTGTCTTTGCAATTTGATTTTAACAAGAGGGAGCAAGGAAAGTTGGAAAAAACGAAAGGAAGGAAGAAAAGAAAGGAGAAGGAAGGAGAGTTGGAAAGAAAGATGAAGGAAGGATAGATAGATAGAAAGAAGGAAGGGAAAATGAAAGAAGGAAAGAGGAAGGAAGGGAAGGAAGAAAAAAGGAAGGAAAGAAAAAGAAAGAAAAAAGGAAGGAAGGAAGAAAGAAAGAAAAAGAAAAGAAAGAAAGAAAGAGCCTTGATAGTACAGAGGTCTACGCACCCTGTTATTAACACAGCTGCCTGCAATTTACTGCAGGTTCGAATCTCTCCAAGGCTCAAGGTTGACTCAGCCTTCCATCCTTTCTAAGGTAGGTGAAATGAGGACCCGGTTTGTGGGGGCAATAAGCTGACTTTGTATAAATATACAAAAGTATGAAGGCTATTGCTTAACGCATTGTAAGCCGCCCTGAGTCTCCGGAGAAGGGCGGCATATAAATCAAATTAAAAAAAGAAAAAAGAAAAGAAAAGGAAGAGAAGAGAAGAGAAGAGAGAGAAAGAAAGAAAGAAAGAAAGAAAGAAAGAAAGAAAGAAAGAAAGAAAGAAAGAAAGAAAGAGAAAGAAAGAAAGAAAGAAAAAGAAAGAAAGAAAGAAAGAAAGAAAAAAGAAAGAAAGAAAAAAGAAAGAAAGAAAAAGAAGATTCTGAATGGTCTCCTATAATGTCAGAGGGATATAAATTCTTGGGCCTGGCAAATTTTGGGAGAAACCTACGCCCAGGAGCCTTGAAAAAGCCGTGAATGCAGCATTGAGGGCACGGGGGCTGCCGAAGAAGCTGGTTTGGCCAAGTAGACCCTGCTGTTCCCCGCGTGGAGCAGCCGCATCAAGTTTGCCCCCCGTTGCCCAGGGCAGCTCCAGCCAGCCCTTTTGCCGGCAAGGGCAGAACCCTGGAGGGCTGGCGCTGCGGGTGAGGTCACAAGCAGCCCTTCCGGAACTCCGGGGCTGGCAGAAAGCAGCTGCCCATCGCTGCGGAGGGCACCCTCCTGCCCAGGGGCAGGGAGAGGGTGCCCTTTTGGGGGACCGCGGGGCTCTCCGGAAGACCAGTCACCACAGCCCACCAAGTCCAACACTAAAAGATGCCAAATAAGAAACGGCAAACCACGGTGCCGCCTGCTACAGGAGAGGAATAACGGAACAGGGCCCAGGTGTGTCTCGGTGTGATTGTGTTTGCATGGCGGATGTGGAAGCCAGGCAGCCGCTGCTAATTCCAACAAGGACAGAAACTGGAGCATGGGGGGGAGGGGTCATTCCTCCCCCTGAGATGGGGGGCAGGGGGACAGTCATTTTCCATAGGGGCAGAATTCTTCCCGGTAACTGGGTGAGGACCCCAGACCCTGAGGCATCACTCCAGGGTCTCCGTTCTGAGTCAGAAGATTGACAGACGGCCCCAACAGAATAACCCACGTTTGAAGGGGACCTTGGAGGTCATCTAGTCCAACCCCCTGCTCAAGCAGGAGACCCGGACAAGTGGCTGTCCAGTCTCTTCTTGAGAACTTCCAGTGATGGAGCACCCACAACTTCTAGAGGCAAGCCGTCCCGCTAATTAATTACCAGAATGACAGTATTGGAAGGGACCTCGGAGGTCTTCTAGTCCAACCCTCTGCTCAAGCAGGAACCCTCTCCTATTCCAGACCAATGGTGGTCCAATCTCTTCTTAATAACCTTCAGTGTTAAAGCACCTACGACTTCTGGTGGCAAGCAGTTCCACTGGTTAATTGTCCTCACTGTCAGGAAGTTTCTCCTTAGTTCCAGGTTGCTTCGCTCCTTAATGAGGTTCCATCAAGGAGAGAACCAGCCTAGCACTAAGGAGAAATCATTTTCTTTGGGGGCAAAATTCTTCTGGGTATCTGGGTGAGGATCCCAGACGCAGGGGCATCACTCCAGGGTCTCCGTTCTGATTCGGAAGATCAAGAGTTGGTCCTAGAGTGGAACCGTCTCACATTTATGACCGGTCGCAGTCCTATGATGGAGATTTGTGAGCCTTTTTATTCTGCTGATTTCTGGCAAAAAAAAAAAAAAATTAAGAAAAAGGCCATTGGGGAAACCGGATTTGCTTAACCGCCACATGGTTCCGTTAACAACCATCGTAAAAAAAGGTGGTAAAATGAGGTCCAATTCAACTTACAATGGAAATTCCAGTCGCAGTTTTGGTTGTAAGTCACAGACTACCTGTATGAAATTTAGCTCCCAGAATCCCAGTCCATGGATGGATAGATGGATGGATGAGAGAGAGAGGATAGATGATAGATGGATGAAATTGGATACAGAGAGAGAGAGAGGATGACAGAGGATGAGAGAGAAAGAGAGAGGATTGATAGATGATAAAAGGATGAAATTGGAGAGAGAGAGAACAAATAGGATGACAGAGAGAGACAGAGATGGATGGATAGGGATGGATGATCTTAAATCCCTGAGAGGTTGAAGCATTTTCCACCCGCCTGGCCAAGGGCAGAGATGAAAGAGTGGCTCTCCCTTGAGGGATCCATGCTGCAGATCTCCAGAAACCGTGGCTTGGTTGCCACTCCCTGCTTTGTGGCAGGTTTCCTCGTCCCTCCACCCCCCCCACGGGCAGAAATGCCAGCTGTGGCACAGGGGAAACACGCTGGCATTAGCCCTGCTTCGAGACCCCCCATCTCTCCTCTCCCCTCTTAGGGAAATTAAGGGCTTCAGTCCCGTGACTGGGACAACTGGTACTTTTTTGGGGGGGAGCTCTCTGCATCCCCCTCCCCAAAATAGCCTGCTCACAATTGCCTTGCCCCAGTTCTGGTGTAGAATTAGCCGCTGCTGCTTTGCCCATGGACCGAGCGAGGGTGCAGCCTGGCTCCCTGCCCTGGGGATCAAATCACCCGGAGAGTCCTTCTCCCAGCCCTCCTTCCTCGTTTGGGGACAGGGTCCTGAAGAGTGGGGTGGGGGGGGTTTCCTCACGGCAGGAGGGAGATTAAGCTGGGAAAGTGACACTGAGCAGGCCCAGGGACGCAGGGAGAAATCTGAAGTTCCTTTTGCTCCTGGGGGACAAATAATTTGGCTCGGGGGTCCCCAATCTTTGCAGCAGAGAGAGGGGGGGAAGAGAGGGGAACCGTGCAAGCGATGGGCTGGCCTGCACATACATGTGCATGCAGTTCGCCTGCAAATGGAGCTGTATGAGCGTGCGTGCTGACCCGCCACTTAACGTGGCTCAGGTGTGAGTAGGTCACAGTCCTGTAGTGGGACGGAGGATGGGGGGGATCAGGGACCCCTGGTCTGACTTTTTCTTTCGGTTTTCCTGCAGAGCTAAGCCCCAGCCCCAGCAGCCTGCGGAGGAGCCGGAAGCTGAGATGTCGAAAGGTAGGAAAAAGGTGGAAAGGACACCACCAGGAGACCCAAGCCTAGCTGGCAGGGACGGTTTAGCACGGTGTTTCTCAAGAGTAGCCATTTTTAGTCAGAGTAAGAAACATTTTATGAGGCCGTTGTAACGTTAGCCGTCATTAAACGAACAGTCGTAAGTGGAGGACTGCCGATACATCTTAGTCCTCGACTTGCGTCCAATGGTTCAAACTAATGACAGCCTTGGGGAAATGTGATTTACGACCTGTATTCACAGCTGAGCTTCCGTGCTGAGTTTGTTCAGGGGTAGGAGGAGAATAATGAATTTCACCTCTCTCTCTCTGGGTAAAGATTCCACGGCCGCTTGTGGAATTTTTTTTACCCACCGAGAGAGGTGAAATTCATTATTCTCCTCCTACCCCTGAACAAACTCAGCACGGAAGCTCAGCTGGCAAACCCTTAACACAGTGACACACCACACTACCCCTCTCACAGTCAAGTGATCGCCAATTCAGATGCTTGGCCCCCGGCTCACTTAATGACCGGCTGCAATATCCTGCAATATCACAAAAATAGGACTTGCGTCTATTTTGGGGGGCCGATTTCTGGTAACCAGCAAAGTCCATGAGGGAATCCAGATTCACTTAACAACCGCATCGATGCAGTTAACCCCTAGGGTTCAAGAAAGGGCATAAAATGGGACCAAACCCACTTAACAAACAGGCTCCCTTGTCATTGTAAGTTGAGGACTACTTCTAATAGGGGGGGAAGCGACCTGGGAGGAACCTGGGAAGGGGTATTTTTCCTTTTCCGACCGTCAGAGAACAGGACGATGTCCTTGCCTGCTCCCTTCCAGGGCCAGCCCCCGGAGGTGGGGGTCTATGGACCACCAAGCGGGATGGAGAAGTCAAGCTGCGGATGGACGCGAGCGGCATGGGCTCCGAGATCCCCATCACCGTCCACGACCTCTTCCTGGCCACCGTGCAGAAATACGGCCACTTCCCGGCGCTGGCTTCGAAAAAGCAGGGCCAGTGGTCCAAGCTGAGCTTCTGTCAGTACTACGAGGAGTGCCGCAAGAGCGCCAAAAGCTTCCTCAAGGTCTCGGCGGGGGGGGGCAGGGAGAGAATTAGGGTGGGGGGACGCGCATGGTCTCTGCACAGTGTCGCCATCGGTTCACGGCAGCCCTGCGAGATAGGGCGGCTGCAGGGGTGGCAGAGGTGGGACTGGGTTGTCTTGGGAATCCGGGGGTGGGGAGGATTTTTGGGGCCGGGGGCGGGCAGCGGGTGCTCTGAGGTGGGGGTGGCAAAGGGGAACATCCGGGGGGGGAGAGGAGTCTCCCTGACATCTCTGCCCTTCTCCCACAGCTGGGCCTGGGGCGATTCAACAGCGTTTGCATCCTGGGCTTCAACTCCCTGGAGTGGTTCCTGGCCGACATCGGCGCCATCTTTGCTGGGTAAGGAGAAGACCCTGCCCCCCCCCATCCTCCCCTCTTGGGAAAAGAAAAGGGGGGTTCCCCACCTGCAGAGATTGACAACTTCTCCGATGCCGAGGGTTCAAGTCCAGCCCCTTCTTCCCTCCCTCCCTCCCTCCCTTCTGCTCTTCTCTCTTAGGCTTCGGGTCAGGGCAGAGGGGAGGGGTCTCTCCCCCAGCCTTTGAAGGGGAGCCCCCCCCCGCCGCCTCAGGGTGCCCCTTCCTTGGAGCTTGAGATGATTCCGCAGACCTTCAGGGTCGAGTTTAGCAGCTGACTGCTAAGACTTTCATCCTTATTGTTCAATCTGCTTCTGGGTTGCTCTGTTCTCCAATAAAGGAGAATATTTGTAGCTCAGGGTTGAAATGAAGGGACCCTTGGAGGTTTCCTTCAGACGTTTCATGAGCCTACTAGAGAACATCATCAATGCAAACTCCTTCCCCTTTTAGCACTGATGGCTTGAAATGTCTGCAAGAAAACCTCCAAGCTCGGAGACCCCCAAGGACCCCCCAGTCCTCCTCCTCCTCCTCCTCCTCCCTTCCGCCACCTCCCTGCAAACTCCCATTTCCTGCAAGAAACCACCAAGCTCATTTTTAAATGTAAATTTTAATTTGTTTTAAATTATGGGGTATTTTAAATTCAGCCAAATTATTTAATCCATTTTTAATTTAATTTAAACTTTTGTATTTATGTGTTTTATCTTGTGGCTGTTCACCGCCCTGAGTCCTTCGGGAGAAGGGTGGTATAGAAATTTAAATAAAATAAATAATAAATAAATAAATAGAGCTGCTCCTCCTCCTCCTCCTGGGGAAGCTGCCCCAGTTGGGTGGGTGAGGGGCTTTCATTGGCACTGCATAGGATGCAGGGGGTCTTTGTCCTGGTGCACAACCATGAGCGATAATTTTCCTCGCTTCCCCGGAAGCCTCTCGGGTGGAAGCCGCAAAGTCTCCAAGGGGTGCGCGGGAAGCCATGCAACCCCCCGCCCCAAATGGCAGTGAGCAAATCTCCCCTTTGTCTCTGCCAATGGGGGCGGGGGGGGAGAGGTGGGCTTTGAAAGGGGGCTGCACGTTCTCTTTGCAGGGGGTTTGCCGTCGGCATCTACACCACCAACTCCCCCGAGGCCTGTCACTACGTCGCGGAGAATTGCGGGGCCAACATCATTGTGGTGGAGAACGACAAACAGCTGCAGAAAATCCTGGAGGTGAGAGCCAGACTCGGGGGGCTCGGGAAGGGAGCCTGGGAGGTCTTCTAGTCCTCCCTCCGGCCCAGGAGAGGATTCTTCCGGAAGGCTTCCAGGGATGGAGCAGACACGGCTCTGGGAGTTTGGATGGCCCACCAAACCTTTTGAGGTGGCCTATCTCTCTCTCTCTCTCTCTCTCCCCCAGCAACTTTAAGATGGGCGGGCTTCAACTCCCAGAATTCCCCAGTTAGGGGAATTCTGGGAGTTGAAGTCTACACACCTTCCAAGGTGCCAAGGTTGAGGAACATTGCATTGAGACTGTGTCTTTTGGATGGCTGTGTACGGATGCACTAAAATTGGTGCGGGGATGTTGCATTCACAAATTGTATGTCACTCTGAAATATATTGTGGCCGAATCAGAGGAGGAGGAGGAGGAGGAGGAGGAGTTGTGGGAGTCAGGATCAGCATCGGGGCAACCTGGGAGCTCCGAGGGGGAAGAGGGAATGGAGCTGGCAGAGAGAGAGAGAGAGAGAGGGAGGGAGAGCCTGTGCCGTCCATCAGCCCTCAAGTGGAGAGTCAACAGTCCCCAAGTCTGGAGGTGGAGGATGAGGAAGAGGAGGAACAGCTGGGTCCAGTGCCTGACGTGCAGATACACAGAAGGCAGAGGAGAGGAGAGCAGTGGAAATCTATGGGCCGGTCCTTGGGACGGAAGAGCCACCACTGCTAGTGAAGCCCCACCTTAGCTCTGGGGAGAAAAGGCAGGGGGCGGAGATGAATAGGTGTGGCAGACAACTATTCATCTCCCTGCCGGACAGATTTGTTAGCCTGCGGTGAGAGAGATGTCAGCGTTCCAGCGCTGACATATGAAAGGAGAGGAGAAGCTTGAACTTTTGCCTACTTAATTCCTTTGAAGATTCTGTTTCCTCGGAGATGGGAGGAGGGGGCACATTCCTGTGATCTGACGGAGATGGGATGAGGAGAGTGGCTTGGAAGATAGCCAATGAGACGCAGAGAATTGGGGATCGGAAAGGGAGGTCTTGGGGGGGGGCAAAGGTCAGTGCTGACCGCGAAAGAGCCAGGGACAGATCACTGTGCTCAATAAAGAGAAAATTTCCTCAAAGATCGGCAGTTTGGAAATTCATTTATTTTGAGATAGCATCGAAACCTGACAAGAGAGACATTTTTTGTCAGGGCTGCTAATAAAAGAATCTTTAACTTCAGAGGGTTGTTTGGAGAGCTGGGTCAGGACAATTAGTTTATTCAACGTATTTCTATGCCACCACCAATAGTAGAACAAGGCTCACTTGCGTGCCTTGTAGAAAAAAGTCTTACAACCCACAGTTGAGCCCCAAATTTCTGCTGCTAAGCAACACACTAAGTGAATGCTGACCCATTTTAGTTAAGTGAATCGTTGCAGTTCTTAAGCTAGTCACGTGGTCGTTAAGTGAATCTGGCTTCCCCTATTGATCTGGGGATCACGTGACCCCTGGGACACTGCAACCGTCATAAATGGGAACCCTTTGCCTGAGTTTGGATCCCGTGACCATGAGGATGCTGCAATGGCCGTAAGTCGCTTTATTCAGTGCCATTGTAACATTGAACAGTCACTAAACGGTCATAAATTGAGGACTAACCTGTATAAAAGCAAAACAAGAGCACAAGAGCGCTCCAACCATAGGAATATAGATAGTCCTCGTTTAGCGACCACTGGCAGTTGCAAAGTAACAACGTTACAGCCGATCCTCACATTTATGACCTTTGCACGTCTGGAAAGCTGTTAATCGCATTGTAAGTCTGAGGGTGGTTTCATTTAGCGACCACTTTGTTTAATGACCTAGTTGCCATTAACTTCCAACTGGAGGGAGTGGGTGATTTTTTTCAGGGGGTTTATTGGGAATCCCAGTGAAGGCATTGGGGGTGAAGGGTCTCTTGTTTTGCCCCCCCCTCCCAGGTGGAGAAAAAACTTCCTCTCCTAAAAGCGATCATCTACTGCAGCAAAGACATCAAAGAGAAAAGGCCCAACCTCTACAGCGTGAGTAGCTTCCCTTCCTTTCCGGGGGTCCTCGACTTACAACCAGAATTTCCACAGCTAAACCAGGCAGCTGTTAAAGTGAATTCGCACGTGGGATTTTACGGACTGTTTCCCCCCAGTGTTTAGGCAAACCACTGCAGTTGTTGAAGTGAATCATTCGGTCATTAAGCGAATACAGCCTTCCCCCCACACCCCACCCCATTAACTCTGCTTGCTAGGAAGGTCGCCCAAGGCGATCGTTTTGACCCCAAGTCAGCTGTTCCCTTAAAGGGGGCGCCTAAAACCTTGCGCCCCACACCTCCCAATGCACCAACGTGGGTCTAGCCCAGTGATGACTAACCTTTTTGCCATCGCCTGCCAAAAGTGGGGGGGGTGCGGGGGGGGGGCGGGTGCATGCGTGCCCACACCCATAATTCTATGTGCCCTGTCCCCCCCCCCCCCCCCCACTTTTGGCACATGATGGCCCGGTGGGCCTGTTTCTCGCCCTCCCCAGGCTCCAGAGGCTTTCTAGGAGCTTGAGGAGGGTGAAAACAGCCTTCCCTACCCCGCGGGGGCCCTCCAGAGGCCAGAAACAGCCTGTTTCCCAACTTCCAGTGGGCCCAGAAGACCTGAAAACCAGCTGTCCAGCGCGTGCATGCCCGCTGGAGCTGAGCTCGCATACCCACCGATGTGGCTCCGCATGCCACCCGTGGCACGCATGCCATAGGTTCGCCATCACGGGTCTAGCCGCTGTTGTGGCTCCGTTACCTGAGCCTGTGTCATCGTCAGGAGAAGACTCCGAGAGTGAAGGAGAGGAGTTGGCAAGGCCTCCCTCTCCAGGACCCTCCTCTCTGGCAATGCCTTCGGTGTCCGCCGAAGGGCAAGAGATAGGGCCGGGGCCAAGCACGTCCACGCAGCCACAGATGGACAGTGATGAGGGTAATGAGTCTTGGCTGGATCCTCGACAGCGTCACAGAGATAAGCACGCGCAACAGAAGAAAAGGCGTGCCCGAGATTAGGCTGAGTCACTGGACCACGCCCCACAGGATATAAAAGGGAGCGTGGTGGCCAGTCAAACCTTGTGACAAACAAAGCTGAAAGCTTCCACGCCATTCTGCATTGCTGGACTTTTGCTATAGACTTTGCTGGAGTATCTCTGGATTTAAGTTACTCTGTAATTACTGAACATTTTACTTTGATGTACCAGAAGCGGAGAGACGTTATCTCTTCCCTTCGTGAATAATAAACTCTTCGCAGGCAGCCACTAGGTTGCTGCCAAGTTCCGTTATCATAAGGATAAGGATTTTGTCGGCTGGTTTGGTTTTTAACTCTTGGACGTCTGTTGGTGTGTGTGCGTGTGGGACGGGGACAGAACAGCCGCCTCCTCCTCACCCGAGGCTGTGGGTTTTTTTTTTCCTTCCGGCTAGTGGGACAAGTTCATGGCCCTGGGCAGCTCCGTCCCGGATGAGCAGCTGGACCAGGTCCTGGCCAGCCAGAAGCCCAACCAGTGTTGTACCATCATCTACACGTCGGGGACAACCGGGAACCCCAAAGGAGTCATGCTCAGCCACGACAACGTAAGTGCCTGGGACCCTGGGGAGGGGGGGATGTTTAGGAGGGGGGTCTCCCAACCTTGGCAACTTTATGACCTGTGGATCTCAACTCTCAGAATGCCTCAGCCAGGTTTGCAAGAGCAAATGAGCAGGTTGCGAAGATGTTACCGCATTTCCTGCCTTTTGCAGACCAATCTGTATGGGGCATTTAATATTTAAATGAGTGCCTAGGGATCGTTTCCGGCATCCAAGTCACAGTTGTCCCAAAGGTGCTTTTTTTTTTTTTCCCCCAAGAGGCAACCAGACTTTCTTGCTTTTTCCTTGAAGACGTTTCGCTTCTCATCCAAGAAGCTTCTTCACTTCATCAGCATTATTGAAGAATTGAAGAAGCTTCTTGGATGAGAAGCGAAACGTCTTCATGGGAAAACAAAGCTCAGGTGCCTTTGCAGGGAAAAAAGCACCTTTGGGGCATTTAAATGAGTGCCTGAAGAAACTTATAAATATTCACCCTGGAATAAACCTTGAACATTTAACGCTCCTCCCAGCCCTTCTCTGACCTAGTTTAAATAGCATTTGCTGGTTTTTTACTGAAGCGAAGAAGGATTCCTTTCCTTTCTAGCTGTGTAACTCCGTTTTCAGATCAGTCTCAAAGAGGCTTGTTTTTCAAGAGGCAACCGGACTTTCTGATTTTCCTTTGAAGACGTTTCGCTTCTCCTCCAAGAAGCTTCTTCAGTTCTGACTGGATGGTGGGGAATGGAAGGAGCTGAAGAAGCTTCTGGGATGAGAAGCGAAGCGTCTTCAAAGAAAAAATAGCTGGAAGGACCGTGTTGTAGACCGGAGATAGATGATGTGGTCAGCACTTCCAAGAAGGCTCCGTGTCCATTTGCAGCACTCAGGTGACCCTGAGGACACAGATAAAACCCCCCAAGTGGCCTCAAGGACTCTCTGAAAGCTTCTCAGATGAGAAGAGAAACCTCTTCAAAGAAAAACAAAGGAAGTCCAGTTGTCTCTTGAAAATAAAAGCACCTTTGGGACAACCAGGACCTGGAGGACTGAGAAGCTCCGTAGAAGTTTTCAGATCGGGAAACCTTTGTGAGAACTCGGGTTGTGGGGTTGTGTTTCCTTGGGGTGTCGTAATAGCCCCAGAGGTGGCCTGAGGTTCCTGTGTGAATCCGCGGGGGCTAGGCGTCCCTCCGTGGCAGCCACGCCGTCTTTGCCTTGCAGATCACGTGGACGGCCAGGGCGGCCGGAGAGTACGTGAACCTGAAGACGGCCTGGGAGGGCCAGGAGAGCGTGGTCAGCTACCTGCCACTGAGCCACATCGCCGCGCAGATGATCGACATTTGGCTGCCCATCACCTTTGGCGTGGAAACCTACTTTGCGCAGCCCGACGCTCTGAAGGTTAGTTCCTGTGTCTGCTGCTTCTCCCTTTAAGGGGGGCTTTTGCGGTGTTATCCTTTTACCCACAATTGCAAGAATAACAGAATGGCAGCGCTCGGAGGGACCTTGGAGGTCTTCTAGTCCAACCCCCTGCTCAAGAAGAAAACCCTATGCCATTCCAGACAAATGGTTGTCTAATCTCTTTTTAAAAACCTCCAGTGATGGCACAACCAAAACTTCTGGAGGCAAGTTGTTCCACGGGTTGATTGTTCTAACCATAGCGACCCTGCGAGGTAGGCTGGACAATGGGTCAAAATTGAAAGAGAAGTTAACTATTGCCTTAATTTGAGCTCAGCTTTTAGTGACCCCCCATGGGGTATGTTCAGTGGTGGGATTTCCTAGTGGTGCACCATCCTGGTGTTCCGGGATCAGCTGAGCTTGGCTAGGTGCTGCCCCCTAGTGGGGAAAGCAAACATTCCTTTAGGTACAACTCAATTCCTTCTTATAGGCAGGTCTCGTTTTACAGCTGCTCTGTTTAGCAACCACTTGAAGTTACAACAGTGCTGGAAAAGTAAACATTATGACAGGCACTTACAACTGCTGCAGCACCCCAGAGTCACCCGATCACCATTTGCAAATTCCACGTCCGGCTTCTGACAAGCAGAGTCAATGGAGAAGCCGGCAGTAAAATCACAACATGAGGTCTTGCTTAATAACCGGATGGGAAGTGATTACAGTCTGTCACAATCACACTGTGTTTCATTTAACAACGGTGTTACTTAACAACAGAGTGACTAGTCCGTGTTGTAATCATTAAGTCAGAACTGCCTGTTAAGTTTTGGCAGTGAGGGATACAGATGTTTTCACTTCCCAGTTGATACTTTGGCTGTGGGATTTCCTGGTGGTCTCTCATCCGTATGCTAGCTTGATTGGTTTCTACTTGGCATTTTCTGATTTGCTGAGGTCAGCCAGTTGTTGCTATCACAAACCCTTGATTTAGAAGCAAAGAGCCCCTTTCTGAGGAAGATGGTTGACTAAGTTATAGGGTGGGTGGGTGGATGGATGGATGGATAGACAAAGACAGACAGACAGACATAGATGATAGATAAGATAGACAGACAGACAGACAGACATGATAGACAGACAGATACAGAAGATAGATAGATAGATAGATAGATAGATAGATAGATAGATAGATAGATAGATAGATAGATAGATAGATAGATAGATAGATAGATGGTGGATGGGTGGATGGATGGATGGATGGATGGAAAGGTAGGTAGGAAGACAGACGTAGATATGGATAGAGAGGAATAGATGGACAAACAGATAAACGGATGGATACATAGACATAGAGATAGATGGCTAGACAAATTGATGGATAGACAGATAGAAAAATAGACAGACAGATGGATATATAGAGAGAGATAAGCAGATGGATAGATAGGTAGATAGATAAACAGAAAGACAGATAGATAAATGAAAGCAATATCCCAAAGGGGAGGGGGCCAAAATGCAATATTCCTGGGGGCTCAGGGTGGGATTTCCTCCAGCGCCCCCCTCCCCCCACCTTTTGAATCGGCTTCCCAGCCCTCTTCTCTGTTCATCCCCCCGACCGCCTCCTTTGCCTTGGTCCGGTAGGGCAGCCTGGTGGACACCTTGCGGGAAGTGAGACCCACGGCGTTCATGGGTGTCCCCCGCGTGTGGGAGAAGATGCAGGAGCGGATGAAGTCGGTGGGGGCCAAGTCCTCCACGCTGAAGAAGAAGATTGCCGTGTGGGCCAAAGCCGTGGGGCTGGAGACCAACCTGAAGCGCATGAACGGGTACGAGGCTGAGGGGTGGGGAGGGGCAGAGCTGGCCGGATGCCGCCAATGGCTGAGTCGCAGCCTCTGTTTTATGGGTCTGGGGTCGGAAAAGCCCCTTCCCGCCAAAGGACGAGGCTGCAATAGTGGGAGAAGCTTTCAGTAGGTATAAAAGTGGGCAGGGGTTTTAAATTTGGGACCCCCAAATTAAGGGGCGGGAGGGAGGCAGAAGCGGCTTGGATAGCCTCTGCAAGGTGTGAACCTTTCAGGACCATCCCCAGGTTAATCTGCAGCCCCCTCCTGCCAATTCTGAGCCCGCCATGCCATCTGCTTCCCTGGGCACAGCGGCTACACCCAACTGGGCAGATGGCCTGTTCAATCAAAGGAGCCCAGCCCCCTTACAAAGCAGGACATCCCCCCCCCCTCCACCAGAACCCCCCACGGGTTGCTGAATCCAGTTTTCCTGCCTGCGTCTTAGCAGGACCTGGGATGGAGACTCTGCTCATCCTGAGCCTTGGTTAGAGGGTCTTCCTGTTGGTGCCCACTCCTTTTTTTTTTTTTTTCCTTGCACGGGTCTGGGGATCCAAAGTTGAAGGTGGGGCTTTGAGGCATTTTCTCTCTACAGCTAGTCCTCAAATTACGACCACAATCGAGCCCGTTGCTTCAGTGAGAAATTGGTTAAGTGAGTTTTGCCCCACTTTACGACTTTTCTCGCCACATTTCGTTAAGTGAGTCCCCGCAGTTGTTAAATTAGTAACAGGGTCGTTGAGTGAATCTGGCTTCCCGGTTGACTTTGCTTCTCAGAAAGATGCAGAAGGGGAATTGCCTGACCCCGGGGGCACTGCGACGGTCATAAATACGAGTCAGTTGCCAAGCACCCAAATTTTGATCACAGGGATGGTGGAATAGTCGTTAAGTGTGAAAAATGGCCACAAGTCACTTTTTTCAGTGCCATTGTAACTCCGAATGGTCGTTAAATGAACTGTTGTAAATTGGGGACTGCCTGTGTTCTTTCTTCCTTCCTATTTTCTCTGCAACAACAGTCCTGCGAGGTGGGTAGACTGAGAGAAAAGCCCAAAGTCACCCAGCTGGCTTTAATGCCTAATGAGGGATTAGAATTCACCTTTACAACATTACAACCGTCATAAAATACGAGTCAATTGCCAAGAGTCTGAATTTGCATCAAGGTGACCCTGGGGAAATGGCAACGGTCGTAAGTGTGAAAAAGGGTCATAAGTCGCTTTTTTCAGCGACGTTTTGGGCAGGCTGCACTCTGATTGGCTGCTTCCTGGATTGATTATGGAAATTAATGTTAAAAAAAGAGAGAAATGGCCCCTCTTCTGTGCATTGGGTGGCAAAGTAGCATCTATTTTTGCCCCCCCCCCCTCCCCCCCGGGATGAAAACTTGAACTATGAGCTTTGAAATCCCTTCCTTCCCCTTGAAAATATCTGCAACGGTTCTCAACTGAACCAAAGATCGTTTAGTGACCATTCAAAGTTACGACAGCATTGGAAAAAAAGTTACTTATGACTGCTTTTTCACATTTAGAATCGTTGCAGCATTCCCTGTGGTCACGTGATCGAAATTCAGACATTTGGCAACTGCTTCATATTTATGACGGTCGCAGTGTCCCGAGTGGGGGTGGGGTTTGTCCCACGATCCTCTTTTTTGTGACCGTCCATGGGGGAAGAAGCCGGATTCGCTTAAACAACTGTGTGGCTAACTTAACTGTAGTGATTCATTTAACTGTGGCAAGGACTGTCTTGCTTAGCGGCCGGTTGTAAGTCAAGGACCGCCTGCATTTCAGTATTTCCCACATGGCTGGCTGGCCGGGGAATTCTGGGAGTCGAAAGGGTTCATACACCTGAAAGTTGCCAGCGTTGAGAAACTCCGTTTTGTTCGGAGCTTGAGAGAACATGAAGTGCTTTGTTCCTCCTTGGGAATACAAAGTCGTTTCCTCCAAACATTTTATTTTTCTTAAATACACACTGACCTTTTTTTCCCTTTATCTTGATGACGCTTGTTGTGGAAATAGAGACGCATTACTAAGTCCTGCAACGTGACACCTTCCTCCCACTCTTTGGCACCTGGGTTAAAAATAAAAACAGGGAAATCACGTTGAGAGAAACGAGGAAAGATTAAGGAGGAGACTTTTAAAAATAAACAAAAATTGTGTAAGAATGTTTTACGTGTAGTCCTCAACTTATGGAGCCTGCCCATTACAGTCAAGAAGTGATAAGGCAGGACATCATGGAATAGGAGTAGGAATAGGAATAGGAATAGAAATATTTATTTATTTATTTATTTATTTATTATTCCAATTTATATACCGCCCTTCTCCCGAAGGACTCAGGGCAGTGTATAGCCAAAAGTAAAAGCACACAAATATAAAATTTAAAAACAATTTAAAAGCATATTAAATAATTTGGCCCAGCTATTCAAATAAAACACCCGTTTTAAAATTTTAAAAAGTTGAAAAAGTTGAAAAATTAGGCCAGCCCGGCTTGTTGGAATAAAAACATTTTGAGGGCACGGCGAAAGGTGCGCAAATAGGGAATCCTCCGTATCCCGGGGAGCAGTTCGTTCCAGAGGGCAGGTGCCCCCACAGAGAAGGCCCTCCCCCTGGGGGTCACCAGTCGACATTGCCTGACCGACGGCACCCGGAGGAGCCCCTCTCTGTGGGAGCGTATTGGCCGGTGGGAGGCTATTGGTAGCAGCAGGCGGTCTTGTAAGTACCCAGGTCCTAAGCCATGGAGCGCTTCTAGAAATAGAAATAATAGAAATAGAAATAATAGAAATAGAAATTAGAAATAGAAATAAAAATAGAAATTAGAAAAATAGAAAAATAGAACTCCATTGTGGCTGTAAGTTGAGGACTTCCTGTATTTTGCTATTGTGAGTCACCGAGAAGGTGTTTCTGTTGGGGAGGTGTGCGTAAACCTGACAAAATACTTTTGATTGTGTAACAAGCCTTCTGAATAGTCTCCTCGAGGTGACATTGGCAGCAAACAAATTTAATAAAGGAAATAAAAATAAGGAAATAACCCCACACGCAAAACACAAGTATCCTTGCAATTCTGGGCTCTCTCCTGCCCCATTGGGTCCTTGTGCCCCCATTCAAGTTTGCACCCCTGGTTTTCTGGAATCCGGGCAGCCCCCTTGATGTGACTTGGCCGTCCCAAGTGGTCGGACGTCTTCCCAACCCTTGTCATGGTTCCCCCACCCCACCCTGACTCCTCTGTTCAGAGGAGAAGGGTGAATTTGAGTCTGCGGAGGAAGGAGCCGAGTGTTGGTCAGGATCGGGGAGTGCTATCCTGATGGACCAGGCTGGGCTAGGATGATCGGACGAGTGACGGGGCCAGGCGAGTTGGACAGGAGGGTCCCAACGAGGACTGGGAGCAGCTGCCGCCCGCTAGCATTGAGGAGGAGGTGGAGTTCACAGGTCCTCCTGATCCAAGGACACATAGGGCAGAGAGGAGGCAGGCACAATGCTGGTCGGCTAGACTACACGTGAGAAGGCAACCTCCGCTCTCGTGAAGGGCTACACCGGGGTCGCCTACTTAACCCCGCCCCGACGACTTGCGTGTTGCGGGAGCAACGTGCCCAATTCCGTGCCTTGTGTGCTCGTGCCGTGTATCCTATCCCGTTCGAATCGTGGACTATTTTCCTGGACTTTACGTGTGCCCGTTGGGCTTGGTTACTCTATGGTGACTCTTGTTGTAGTGAGCACGGAATGCAGATCTGTGCTTTCCGAAGACCTGTTTGAGAAAACACGTGTAGACCTCTTTGTCATACGTGTGTGTGGGGCGGGGAGTGGGGCAGCACAGCCCCTAAAAAGGCTGCAGCCCTTGCAGAGAGAGTAGGTCTTGTTTTGCTCCTGGCCTCATGCGTGTTTTTCCTGCAGGTCCGATGATTGCCCGATGAGTTACCGGTTGGCGAGGGCACTGGTTTATAAAAAGGTCCGGAAAGCGCTGGGCTTGGACCGCTGCGACAAATGTTACACGGGGGCAGCCCCCATCACAAAGGACACCTTGGAGTATTTCCTGAGCCTGGACATTGTGGTCTACGAGCTCTACGGCATGAGCGAAAGTTCGGGACCCCACACCGTTTCGTATCCAACGTCATACAGGATGTCGAGGTAGGATCAAAACTCAACTTACACCCATAGCAAAAGCTGTAGCCCTTAGACTTATATACCACTTCACAGTGCTCTGCAGCCCTCTCTAAGCGGTTTACAGAGTCAGCCTCCTGCCCCCAACAATCTGGGTCCTCATTTTACTGACCTCGGAAAGGATGGAAGGCTGAGTCAACCTTGAGCCAGTCAGGATCGAACTCCGGGCAGTTGGCATAGCCTGCAATGCTGCATTCTGATCTCTGCACCACCATGACCCTCCCTCCCTCCCTCCCTTCTCTCTTCTTCCTTCCTCCTTCCTTCCTTTCCTCCCTCCCTCCCTCCCTCCCTTTCCTCCCTCCTTTCCACTTAGCCCTAACCCTTAAGACTTATATACCGCTTCACAGTGCTCTACAGGCCTCTCTTAGCGGTTTACAGTCAGCCTCTTGCCCCCAACAATCTGGGTGCTCCTTTCACCAACCTCGGAAGGATGGAAGGCTGAGTCCACCTGGAGCCGATCAGGATCGAACTGCAGGCAGCTGTCAGTCAGCAGAAGTTTTTTTTGTGTGTGTGTGTTTGTTTTTTTTTTTGCTTTAATTTATATGCCGCCCTTCTCCGGAGACTCAGGGCGGCTTACAATGCGCTAAGCAATAGCCTTCATACTTTTGTATATTTTATACAAAGTCAGCTTATTGCCCCCACAAACCGGGTCCTCATTTCACCTACCTTAGAAAGGATGGAAGGCTGAGTCAACCTTGAGCCTTGGAGAGATTCGAACTTGCAGTAATTGCAAGCAGCAGTTGTTAATCACAGTGCTTTAGTCCACTGTACTACAGGCTCTTGCCTGCAAGACTGCATTCTAACCACTGCGCCATCATGGCTCTCATCCATAGTTGAGCCCAAAATTTATGTTGCTAAGTGAAATGTTTGTTAAGTGAGTTTGCCCCATTTTACAACCATTCTTGCCACAGTTGTTAACAACTGCAGTCGTTAAGTTAATCAAACTGTTGCTCAGTGAATCCGGCTTTCCCATTGACTTTGCTTGTCAGATGGTGGCAAAAGGGGATCACATGAACCCCGGGACATTGCAACCGTCATAAATGTGAGTCCGTTGCCAAGTGTCTGAATTTTGATCATACGACCATGGGGATACTACAAGGGTCGTAAGTGTGAAAATTGGTCATAAGTCACTTTTTTCAGTGCCATTGTAACTTCGAACAGTCATTAAACTGTTGCCTGACCATGGTGATTGAAAAAGAAAGTATGGCATCACGTCAAGCTCATTTTACGACCCTTTTTTGTGGCAGTTGTTAAATAAACGCTGCGGTCATTAAGCAGAGCTATTGTTTGGGGGCCATTTTTGCCAAAAAACTAGAAATAAGTGCCAATTTTCTTCAAAAGAAATATCGTAAATTGCGGTCCTGTGAGGATGAGCTGCTGCAAACTGCCATCAACGCAGATCAGTTGCCAAGGGCTCAAAATATAACCAAATTGGGGAAAGTGGGGATGCCATCATAAACAGGTTTGGGCGGAGTCTGGGGTGACTCTGGCCACTACATGACCCGTTATAAGTTGAGGACGTCCCGTATTTCTCTTCCAGCTGGGAAGAAACCTGAAGGCTTTTCTTATTGAGGAGTCTCGTGGATGAATTGGCTCCCACGTGTCCATTGCAAAATTTAAATTTCCCAGATGGAGGAGGCTGCTGCATGCTCAGAGGAGCAAGTCACGGGAGAGAATTCCCACAACATTTTGGGGCTGGGTTCCCTGGCACGACCGGCTGTGTTGTGCCGAAATTTCTGGCTGAGATTTGAAAGCTCTCCGCCAAGCGTTAGAGGCGCAAGCAGATTGTTGTGTTTGTTGTGCAAACACTCAGAAAGCCCAGATTTCAAGTGTGGCGTTGGGGAGCTGTTAACATGGGCCTCTTGCATTTTTACGGTTTGGGAGAGTAAAAGCTGAAAGACGGGGGGAGAAATAAAATCTGAATTTTATTTTATTTTTTAAAACCCAAGCAGAGCAAGTTCTGAGTAAAAGGACCTGAATAGGGGAAATACCAAAAATGTTGTAAACATTTGGGTGGCCGTGTCAGAAATTCAGTGCAGCAAGGTTTCCTGCCTGAGCAGCGGGTTGGAATAGAAAGTCCTCAAGGTCCCTTCCAACTCTCTTACCTAGCACTGATGATGTTACCTAGATAGGGTAGTGAAACGTCTGCAAGAAAACAAGCAAGCTCAGAGAGCACCCAGGAGCCCTCAATTCTGTTATTCTGTTAAGCTCTCGATTTAATGGGGAAGGAACGCTTGTTAAATCAGACGCTAAACACAGATTGTCTGTTGCATCCAAGCTTCTCTGAACTGAAGACTGTTAAATCAGGATGCGTTGTTTTGTTAAGCGAGGGTCTCAAGCTTTAATAATTAGGTTTTCTTTTATAATCATGGTATGTGTGTGTGTGTGTGGAGACTCTGCTGTGCTTTACCGCAGTGGGCAGTCTGTGTATGGGGCACGCTCGCCAGCCCTTTGCTTGACCCCTTCCCCCCCCTCCCCTCCCCAGCTGCGGCAAGGAAATTGCAGGCTGCCAGACAATGCTTTTCAAGACAGACCAGGAAGGAGTCGGCGAGGTCTGCTTTTCTGGTCGCCATGTATTTATGGGCTACCTGAACATGGAAGACAAAACGAAAGAAGCAATTGACGACGAGGGCTGGCTCCATTCCGGGGATCTGGGCCGGCATGATGAGGACGGCTTCCTGTACATCACGGGGAGGATCAAAGGTAATCCACTTCCCTGGGTCATGAGAGAAAGTCTCCAGGGAAGGTCACAAACGGCAGTCCCGTGTCCTTGGGACGCTGCAGCTGTCATAAATACATACCGGTGGCCAAATATCTAGAGAGATTCTCAGTCCTCCAGGTCCTGGTTGTCCCAAAGGTGCTTTTTCAAGAGGCAACTGGACTTCCTTTGATTTTCTTTGAAGACATTTCGCTTCTCATCCAAGAAGCTGCTTCAGCTCAGACTAGAAGGTGGGGAATGGAAGGATTGATACTCCTTGCAGGCAGCTGGTCATTTGCATCCTTTTTAGAGAGTCGTTGAGGCCACTTGGGGGTTTCTCTGTGTCCTCAGGGTCACCTGAGTGGTGCAAATGGGGATGGAGCCGCCTTGGAACTGCTGAACATCCTACAGAAAGCACAACTCCACAACACAATCCTTTCAGCAGTTCCAAGGTGACCCTGAGGACACAGGTAAACCTCCAGGTGGCCTCAGTGACTCTCTCAAAGGATGCAAATGACCAGCTGTCTGCAAGGAGTATAAATCCTTCCATTCCCCAAAGGTGCTTTTTCAGGAGGCAGCTGGACTTTCTTGTTTGTTTGTTTTTTTGTTTGAAGACGTTTCGCTTCTCATCCAAGAAGCTTCTTCAGCTCTGACTTCCCAACCATCCTGTCAGAGCTGAAGAAGCTTCTTGGATGAGAAGCGAAACGTCTTCAAAGAAAAACAAAGGAAGTCCAGTTGCCTCTTGAAAAAGCACCTTTGAGACTACCCGAAACCAAGTCCCTCGATTTTGATCACACGACTGTGGAGTGCCGCAGCGGTCATAAAGATGAAAACCAGTCATAAGTCACTTTCTCCAAGGTGATTGGAATTCGGAGTGGTCACTAAAGGAATGGTTGGAAGGCTAGGATTACCGGTTTCTGCAGCAAGCAAGCTGTGGTTTATCCCGTAGGCTGCAAGCGTGAACCGAGTGGCTTTTCTTAGGGGGGTTCTGACGCCAGGGCCTCCGCCATTTCTGTTCCAGAGCTAATCATCACTGCGGGGGGAGAGAATATTCCCCCAATCCCGATTGAAGATGCTGTCAAGGAGGCAATCCCCATTATCAGCAACGTCATGTTGGTGGGAGACAAAGCCAAATATCTCGTCATGCTGATGACCCTTAAGGTGAGTGCTGGGTTTTCTCCTGCCTCCCCTAGGCACCCCGGGACCCAGAGGGTAGGGGAGACAAACTCAAGAGGTGCCATTCCCACCACCATCAGCTCTTTAATGATCCAAATTGGGCTTCTCAGATGTGTTTGCCAGATTCTAGAGCACTGTTTCCCTGTTTTAAGATGGGCGGACTTCCAACTCCCAGAATTTCCTAGCCAACTATGGCTGGATGGGGAATTCTGGGAGTTGAAGTCTGCCCATCTTCAAGCTGCCATGGTTGGGGACGCAAAGAGCGGAATGAAATGGGGCGATATACAGGATCTATGGGGATCCCACTTGGCTGAGAATCTTAGTCCATCCATCTTAAAGTGGCCAAAATGGAGGAACACCGCTCTAGAAGATTGACTTGGGAGTCACCCCTTTGGGGAAGGCATGATTTGAGGGTGTCAGTTCAGATTTTTTTTAAAAAAATCACCTTTCAGAACTCTTCAGGATTTGAAAGCTTGAGGACTAGGATCTTGAATTGAAAGCTGCAATAATAGCGGGGAGTCGTTCTGCAGACAATTTCAGTCTTCTAATGCTTGGTTATTGAAGTCATAGATTCTCCCAAGGAGTTGCTTAACTTAGGATGGGGCTGATCCTATGCTGGGGGGAGGAGAAAGTTCTCCCCGCCCTTCTGTGCTCCACCAATCACTGGTGGGAAAGGATCGTTTCTGAGCGTCCAGAAATGGTCTCCAAGGGGGCAAACGTTTCTGGCCTCTGCCTTGAATTACAAACTCTTATCTTGTACTCCACATTGTCTGAATGGGTGGCTGCCCACACGACCCCTCTCAGCTACCCCCCCCCCTTCTGGGCAAACACTAGGGCAGGGCCAGCCGCCACCAGAAGGTGGCACTGCACCCCTTCCTATGGCCGCCCCAACGCTCCTCTGCTTTTGTAGTGCAAGGTGAACTTAGAAACAGGGATCTCGGAAGATGAACTGACGCCCGAAGCTGTGGAGTTTTGCCAGAAACTGGGCAGCAAATCCACCAAAGTGTCTGACATCGTGGGGAACAAAGACGTGTTAGTGTACACCGCCATCCAGAAAGGGATCATGAAGGTCAACGATCGTGCCACCTCCAACGCTCAGAAAATCCAGAAATGGCTCCTCCTGGACAAGGACTTCTCCATCCAGGGTGGCGAACTTGGTAAGCAGCTGGCATGGCTTCCCATTCCTCCCGGGGGGGGAGTTGGTGGGCAAAGGCTGCTGGGTAGGGGGGATGTCAGATGGCGCAAGGCAGTGTTTTTGAACTTTGCTGGAGCCCTGGGGAATTCTGGGAGTTGAAACCCACCCATCTTCAAGGGGCCGAGTTTGGGGACGCAAGGAGTAGAATTGAAAGGGGATAATATACAAGATCCGTGGGGTTCAGCCCAGATTCCACTTGGCTGAGCTTAGCGGTTTCATTCAGACAGATAAGTCGTGCCCAAAGCCTTACGAGGAGAAAGGCCTGGGGATGGCGGGCGTGGTTTAAACATGCCTGCCCTAAACTTTGTCCCCCGAGATGCTGAATTAAAAGAGGAGCAGCTTCTGCTCCCTTTTCCAAACGGAGTTGTTGCATTACTCCAGGGTGGAAACTTAGCCTTGGGTGTTTCTTCAAAGATTTTAAGGCAACCACAGGAAAGTTGCCTGTCCGTCGGGGCAACCCCCAACGAGGTTCCTAGCTCTGGGTTGTCCACCATGCAGACAGCATCCACCTGGGGAGGGGGCTGGTAGCCCATCCTCATTATGTTAAGGGATCAAGGGGCATGCCCCCCTATCCCATCCCACCCATCCAAACATTGCAAGAAATTTCCTCTGGATCTCAGCTTTGCACAGCTTCAGAAAAAGTTGAAAGGGGGATAGAGGGCAGGGTGGGGGGGCCTTCGGCATTAACGTGACCCCCTGTGTCCGCCTCCCAGGCCCAACCATGAAGCTGAAGAGGCCAGTGGTAGTGAAGATGTATCAAGAACAAATCCAACAGCTCTACTCAGACACAACGGACTTCTGAACCAGGATGCCCATCTCTCCGCCGGCCTCTGTTCAAAGTGCAGCATCTTAACCGGAGTCCTCCTGGAGGCGAGGTGCACCGTCTCTTCCCTTGATAAATGAGGTTTTTTTCAATAAAGCCGTCATCTTCTCTTGCCTTCCCCCAAGACAGGAGACTTCTCTGCACTTCGGACTCTGGCTGTGCTGGTGGCAGGCCTCAGGATGACCTTCGCTGGCTGTTTTGACCTCAGTGTCCCTCTTCCCAAAATGAATGTACCAACCTCAGGGTTCTCAGGATTTCTCTTCTTTCTTTCTTTCTTTCTTTCTTTCTTTCTTTCTTTCTTTCTTTCTCTTTCTTTCTTCTCTTTCTTTCTTTCTTTCTTTCTTTCTTTCTTTCTTTCCTCCTTCCTTCCTTCCTTCCTTCCTTCCTTCTTTCCTTTCTCTTTCTTTCTTTCTTTCTTTCTTTCTTTCTTTCTTTCTTTCTTTCTTTCTCTGTCTGTCTTTTATCCTTCCTTCTCCCTCCCTTCCTTCTTCCTCCCTCTCCCCCCTCTCTCTTTTTACCAAAGGAAAACATTGCAGCTATGCCACAGACTGGGTGAACACTATGTGTTCTTGCGATGGGGTAGCTCGTTGGGCGAGTCTTTGCATGGGTCACTTTTTCTCCTTCCACAGACGGCTGGTGTCCGTGCTGCACACACACTGGCAACGTTTCTTCCTGCAAGGAAGTCTGGCACACTTAAATGTCCTCTCGTTGTTTTTACTTGGGGTTGGGGTGGGGGGGTGTTACATAGCAAGGTTCAACTTCAGAGCAGATCATGGGCTCCATTTTGCCCCTCTTGTGCCAGGGGGGACAGTGGGGAAGGAAGGAATGGGCAGAAATCTCCCTTACCTTGTTCACCAGTGTCTTGAGAACACTTTTGGGAACCTGGGTGAGCACCCAACTTAGGGTTCAGCCAAATTTTAACCTGCACTTGTTCTACATAGAACCGAAGACTTAAATTCCAGCCGAATTATATCGTGGCGGGGAGGGAGGGTGTTAGGCTCCTCAGCTGTGCCTGCTCCCCATTAAATCTACGTAAAATTGCAAGTACTGCTCTGGATTCAAAAACCAAATTGTGTAGAAGAGCCAAAAGTGTGTCCTTGTGAATTTGAGCTGCTTTTCGGTGCAAAAGAGGGGATTATTTAATGTTGACGTTTGGTAAAAATTACAGTGAAGAGGCAACGCGGGGGGAGGGGGTGTCTTAAAGGAAGCGCGGGGTGCAATCATGGATTATAATTTTTAATCGTGCGAGCTAAACCAAATCACTTTTAACTTCTAGTATAAACATGAGGGGAGGGGGCATATTTGATAAAGGTTAATGGCTGCTCTGTTTTTGTGGGAAGACTTAAAAGACCGCCAGAGCGGTCGTCTCTTCTCCCTGTAAATGTGATAATAGGAGTTCCCTGTATTTATGAATTGGGTGCGAAGAAAACGTGTCTTAAGGAATCAAATGTGATCAATTTGTCCATTTTTATTAGGAGTGTTTTTTCTTAAAAGTGTTTTCAAGGCCGTCCAAAGCTGGGGATGGTCACCACATATTGTAACAAGGTCTGTAAGTTTAAATATCTTTTTTTTTTTTTTTTGCAAAATATGCAGATGTTGGCTTAGAGCTTTAAAGACTCACCTTTTCCTTGCAAACGTGGTTATGTTACGTTGAGCTTTGAAGTTCGCCTTCCCTGACTTAGCGTTGCCTCAAATTTTGGGGTCCAGCTTCTTGATCTTCCGGCTTCTCTTAAGCAGAGTCCCAGGAAATCAGGACGCAAAAGCCAGGGGTGGCTGGGGGGGAAAAAAGACATTTTAAGTAGAAATTCTACATATTTTTCCACCCATCTGTTTCAGGGCATGCTGTTCTTTATGTGGTCCCAGGTTTTGTCTAAAGCCTTTTTGAATCATGACAGGAAAATATTTCGGAATAAAAAAAGATGCAAGCTAAAAACCGGTCTGGAGTGTCTTTGTGGCCTCTCTCGAGGATGTCCCGGGTGAACTTCTGCCTGCAGCCAACACAGCCCCGCAGGAATGTTGTGGCAGGCTAAGCTGGACCTCGGTGTAACCTTCCCTTTGGGGATTGCTCCCCATGGGCCTTGCAGGCCGTAAAACACCACAAGCCCCGCAAAACCATGGTTAATGGGACAGGCAGAAGGCTCACAGGAGTGCTGTAAAGTGCTGTGAAGCGGTTCATTTAGTGACCGTTCAAAGTTACAACGGCACTGAAAAAAGATTTAGAATAACCTTATTGTCATTTTAAATGTACACTAATCGGAATACCTTAAAATGAAATTTTGTTCCATACAGCTCTCAAAGGGTCACCACCTCCAAGACACTACATAAACATGACACGTGTGTGTGCGCGCACACACATATATTATTTATTTATTCATTTATTCATTTATTCATTTATTCATTTATTCATTTATTTATTTATTTATTTATTTATTTATTTATTTATTTATTTATTTATTTATTTATTTATTTTAAATGAAATAAAGATAAAAAAATCCTTCGGGAGAGGGGTGGTATAAAAATTTAAAAAATAAAATAAATAAATAAAATAAATAAATTTTTATACTGCCCTTCTCCCGAGGAACTCAGGGCGGTGCACAGCCAACAATAAAACACATATATCCATTAAATTTAAGAACAATTTAAAAACATATTAAATAATTTGGCCCCAATATTATTAAAAACTAAAACAAACCATTAAAATTCATGTGTAAGCCAGCCCAGCTTGTTGAAACAATAACGTCTTGAGGGCACGGTGAAAGGCGCATAGGTCAGGGATCATCCGTATCTCCGGGGGGAGCTCATTCCAAAGGGCAGGGGCCCCCACAGAGAAGGCTCTCCCCCTGGGTATCGCCAGTCAACATTGTTTGACCGACAGCACCCTGAGGAGTCTCTCTCTGTGGGAGCGTATTGGCCGGTGGGAGGCTATCGGTGGCAGAAGGCGATCTTGTAAGTACCCAGGTCCTAAGCCATGGAGCGCTTTAAAGGTGGTGACAAGCACTTTGAATCGCACCCGGAAGACCACCGGGAGCCAGTGCAGCTCGTGCAGGAGGGGTGTTACATGGGTGCGCCGTGTCGCACCCATAACCACCCGCGTGGCCGCATTCTGGACCAGTTGGAGCCTCTGAGTGCCCTTCAAGGGGAGCCCCATGTAGAGAGCATTACAGTAGTCCAGACGGGAAGTGACGAGGGCATGAGTGACTGTGCGCAGGGAGTCCCAATGCAGAAAGGGACGCAACTGGTGAATCAGGCGAATCTGATAAAAGGCCCCCCTGGTCACAGCCGTCACATGATCTTCTAGAGACAGCCGTGTATCCAGGAGGACACCCAAGTTACGAGCCCCCTCTGAGGGGGCCAAAATCTCACCCCCAATAGTCAGCGATGGAACCAGCTGGCTATAACGGGACGCCGGAAACCACAGCCACTCGGTCTTGGAGGGGTTGAGTCTGAGCCTGTTTCTCCCCATCTAGATCCGCACGGCCTCCAGGCACTGAGACATCACGTCAAGGGCATCATTGGGGTTAGTTAGTTTATTAAACTTCTATACTGCCCTTCTCCCGAAGGACTCAGGGCGGTGTACAGCCATGTTAAAACACACATAAACTCACAAAATTTAAAAACAATTTAAAGCGAATATATAAAATTTGGCCCACAATGTTAAAAATTGACAAACAACCAAATTTAAAATTCATATTCTAAGCCAGCCCGGCCTGTTGGAACAAAAGAGTCTTAAGGGCACGGCGAAAGGTATGAAGGTCGGGGTGGTCCAGGGTGGAGATGTACAGCTGAGTGTCATCAGCGTACTGATGGTACTTCACCCCGAAACCACGGATGATCTCACCCAGTGGCTTCACATAAATGTTGAACAGGAGGGGCGAGAGGACCGACCCCTGTGGCACCCCACACACGAGGCGCCTCGAGGTCGATCTCTGTCCCCCTGCCAACACAGACTGCATATGGTCAGAGAGGAAGGAGGAGAACCACCGCAACACGGTGCCCCCCACCCCTAACTCTTCCAACCGGCGCAGCATGATACCATGGTCGATGGTATCAAAAGCCGCTGAGAGATCTAATAGGACCAGGACAGAGGAGCAACCCCTGTCCCACATGTATGTCATTTTAACAACCCCATAACCCCTTGCTGGGTGAAGTCTAGGCAACTGAATGGAGCTGAGTGTTTACTGGCCGGATGCCCTTCCTATCGCCAATGCGGAGTTTTGTTCAGCAGATACACTCTCATTGTATTGATTTTAATTGAAATGTTTTAAATTATGGGCCAAATTTTATTTAATTATTTTAAATCTATTTTAACTTTTGTGTATGAATGTTTTATATTTGGCTGTTCACCGCCCTGAGTCCGGAAGGAGAAGGGCGGAATAGAAATCTGAAAAATAAATAAATAAATTGTGCTCAGAGAAATATCTACCTCTGTCTAGGATTGAACTCACAGCCTCCTGATTGTGAGGCGAGAGCTCCACCTCTAGGCCACTGCACTAGTGTGTGTGTGTGTGTGTGTGTGTGTGTGTGTGTGTAAATATGCATATACCCACATATATGACACATAACACAGTCTAGTTTGGATGTAAAAGTAACATGACTATTTTTCACACTAAGGACTTTTGTAGCATCCCCATGATCATGTGAACAAAATTCAGACCTCTGGCAACTGACTCGTACTTACAACCGTTGCTGTGTCCCAAAGTCAAGTGATCCCCTTTTGCAACTTTTAGACAATCCAAAATCCACGGGGGAAGCCAGATTCACTTAGCAACCCCATTACTAACATCTCGACTGTGATGATTCACTTAACAACCATGGCAAGGAAGTAAAGCTCGCAAAACTCGCTTCACAAATGTCTCACTTAGCAACTAACTAATTTCACAATTTAGCTCAGTTGTGGTTGTAAGTTGAGGACTACCTGCATAAGTATATAAGTATAACCTCACAGGTTTTTTAAGAGGCTAGTCACTTATCTGAAATGATATAGGTTCTCCTGCTTGAGCAGGGGGCTGGACTAGAAGACCTCCAAGGTCCCTTCCACCTCTATTCCCTATTCTAAGTCTAAGCGCTATTGCTATCGATCCAGGCCAGCCATGTCCCCCCCCCAAAAAAGAAGCTGGTATGGCAGTTAAACATTAATCCCAAA